ATATCAGCTCGAGTCAACGACCGCTACCGCTTTAACCTCAAAAATTGAGGTCGCAACATTTTTGTAATAAAAGGCTAAGCGTAACTAAAGCACTATGGGACCAAAAATCCATAAATGTGGCATGTTAACGGTACTTTTATTGCAGTTTTTATTCGATTTTTCAGGGTTTTTGTATATTTTTGTTATATTCTAAAATAAAAAAGATAATATTTGGGCATAATTACATTGAATAAATATACAACCTATAAGAGTACATACATAAATAACACATGAATACCCATAGAACATTTTTTGAATTTTTTTTCTACAACTTTTTAACCGTTTTGTGCCATAGTGCGCAAAGTGAACAACACAGCTGACACATATACAGATCAGTGAACCGATTTGTAGAATGTCATTTTTCTGCTCTGATCTTAATTACGGTATAAATCGGTTTCACTGTATTGCCATTATTGAATTAATTGAACCTTCATTTGTTACCATACATACTCACCTAACTCACTAGATCTCTTATCACTAATCAACTTTACCAAGCTGGGTTATAATGGATTTGTTTTCCACATACAGGGCGTTTTGGTTTTAAGAAATATGAAAGATATTTTATGATATATTTTTTTATTTATTTTGTTTCTTTTCAGGTATGTAAGTACTCAACTTTAAAACCCAAATCTTTCAAATGTATAGTGAGAACAATTTATAATTTTTACGCTAGAATAAATAACAAATTGTTTTTCTTCTTTACGCAAAAAAATACAAAGAGTAAAATTTGGTTTGAATGAATACGAAAGCTTGAGAAGCCAGGTATTTTATTTGACTTCTTAACTTTTACTTTTACTATAATTCACTTTCTTTTATTTTTTAATGAATGGTTAATTAGTTTTGTTATATGTTTAATTTTTATAATTAATAAATGTTCGACTTTTATACATTATAAAAACATATTTTTTTTGAAACTGTTGTATATTTGAGCAGGTTTTTCTCCAACCTTCACGCCATATAAAATAAAAAACACTATTTCCAATTGTTTACCTACTTAATTCACATTGTTTATTCAATGACGTCAATCGTTCGATAATATTGTCAAAAATTGTGTTACACACCACATAAAGCAGTGTTTGTTGAAGATTAGCAAAATATTTTTCATGAATAGTGCAAATATGGAACTGTATCGGTCATTGGCCGTAAATGGAACGAAAACCCCATTAAGGAGGGATTTTTAATAAATAAAACAAGTGCACTTCCCCTGATAACGATTTAAATCTGGAACACGGCTATTGGGGGTTATCGAACTTAGAGTGGGGCTTTTACTGCTGTTTGTAATGTAAAATGGCTCATTTTATAATTTTATGATTCATAACAGTAGACTTTTAAGGCACAGTTTTAGTCATTTTATATAAAACAAAATCACTGTATATTTTTAATGTTTTTGCAAAGTTAACAGTTTGAATTTATCCAAATATTCAAAAATTTCAACATTTTTGGAATTTACAAAATGTTTTAAATTTCTAAAATTCCTAAAATTTTAAAAATATTCAAAATTTCAAAAAAAAAAAACGAAAAGTTAAAAAAAATGTCACAAAAGCTTATAAACTTAAAGCTTCAACAAAGCTTAAAAGCTTCAACAAAGCTTAAAAGCTTCAACAAAGCTTAAAAGCTTCAACAAAGCTTAAAAGCTTCAACAAAGCTTAAAAGCTTTAACAAAGCTTAAGAGCTTAAATTAAGCTTAACAGCTCATAAAAGTCGAAAAACTGCCCAAAATCGAACAACATTGTTTAATTGAAAACTGCCCTTACATTTAATTTAAACTACATAAACTACATAAATAAAATCTGAAAATTAAAATTAATTTTTTAAGTAATTGAAAACTGCTAAATTCGAACAAAATTGGATAATTAAAAACTGCCCTTATATTTAATTTATTTAAAACTCCATGGATCCATAAATAACATCTCCACTTTAAAATTAATGTTTTTAGTAATTTAAAAATGCTAAATTCGAACAAAATTTGATAATTGAAAATTGTCCTTACATTTAATTTATTTAAAACTGGGTTAAAATCTGCACTTCAAAATTAATGTTTTTAGTAGTTGAAAACTGCTAAATTCAAACAAAATTGGATAATTGAAAACTGCCCTAACATTTAATTTATTTTAAACTGGGTAATTGAAATCTGCACATTTAAATTAATGTTTTTAATAATTGAAAACTGCTAAATTTCAACAAAATTGCATAATTAAAAACTCCCCTTACATTAAATTTTAATTTATTTTAGACTGGGTTGAAATTTGTACTTTAATATGAATGTTTTTGGTAATTAAAAACTGCTAAATTCGAACAAAATTGGATAATTGAAAATTGCCCTTACATTTAATTTATTTAAAACTGGGTTAAAATCTGAACTTCAAAATTAATGTTTTTAGAAGTTGAAAACTGCTTAATTCAAACAAAATTGGAAAATTGAAAACTGCCCTTAATTTATTTAAAACTACATAATTAAAATTTGCACATTAAAATTAATGTTTTACGTAATTGTAAACTGCAAAATTCGAACAAAATTGGATAATTGAAAACTGCCCTTACAATTAATTTATTTTAAACTGGTTAATTAAATATCGAATAAACAAAAACAAAACATGAATTTATTGAAAATAATACTTAATTAGTTAACAAACAAACAAAAAACGGTACAAAATTAAATGATTTGACTGTTGAAACCAGGAAGAGAACATTTTATTAAATTAACGGTAAATAGTTATACAGTAATCAGAAACGATATTGTGTATGCACACCGGTATGGTTAATTTGTTTGGTTAAATGACCTAGTATTGTATATTTTGAATATTTTTAACTCGATCACAGTCTATACGCTCTAATTCGTACAGCAGCTAAATTAATATTCTAAATAAGGTACTTTCACAAAATCTCCGTTAATGTCATATACCTATGCAGTTAGTTATTGATACTATAATATGTATCCAGGTATCGTACAATTATTGCCTCATTTATACACATAATGTTTTGATTAACCAGTTTAAAGTAACTAAATAACTTTTTATGATGCTTAAATAATTTATTTTTATTTGGTATTAAATTGTTTACTACTAGTATTTTTGCAATAATTTTATGAGATTTCTTCGTTCTTAAAATGTAATGTTATTATAATTATTACAAAAAAGATAAGTAAAATAATACTTTAAACTTAGTTGCCTAAGGTAGCAATTACAAGCTCAAATTTATCAAATCACCCTTGAAACATTTAAACAAAACAATTGAAAATCTCGCCTCGTCGATCGGCCATCGCTGCAAATAATTGCATATTTGTTAATGACGTAACGAACAAACGAAACCTTTTCCAGAACGCTTTGCAAACATGTTGCGAAAAATTTTGCACTGTTGTAATCGCGAAAAACTAAACGTGGCGAAATTTGTCCGAAATTTTATTATGAAGAGCACGTATGTGCGTAGTTTTATTATTGCGAACTGTAAATGGTTCCTGGGTGCGTTTTGCAATTTTTTTGCACAAAAGTTTTCGTTCATTCCGATGTTTTCACTTTCTAAATGTTGTTTTTGTTTTATGTTTTACAAAATGTTGTGTTATAGCCAAAGTACTAAACAGGTTTCAATTTTACAATGTTTTTGTTTTTGTCACATACTTATAATAATTTTACAATTCTGTATTGTAGAATTGAATTTGAAATTTTGTAAAATTTCTATACATATTCAAAATTTAATTTTATTAAGATAATCAATAAAATTACTAACCAAAATTTTCTATTTTAATTACAATAAGTGTTTTGAAATATACAAATCATTATTTATTGTATACAACTTCTGTTTTCATTCAACAGTTTCTAATAAAAAGAATCTCTCTAATTTGATTTGCTATAATGTTATATAAAATGCCTAGTAAGTACCGATTGCAGCAATCACGTGATGTTCTTACATCTCGCCTCGGTTGACTTAGGTGGACAGTATATAAGCTCAGGTGTCTTTCGTTTTTGGTGCGTTCCCATACACCAAATTGCCCGACATTGATAAGACCCAAAATAGGTCTATCTATCTAGCTGTCTGTCGGTATTTGAAGCTGGTGGAACGCACTTAAAACAATAGGTGAAGGTTCAATTTTTTTAAATCTAAGAAAATTGCAGGTTTTTTTTATTTAAAATGATAGCTTCATTAGAAACTTGCAATTTAATAATATTTCGTTAGGTATATAATTTTGAAAAAAAAAAAGAAAATATATCCACAAAATGACACAATAAAGTTACAGGATGAGAACTTTTTGTTTTAACACTTTTATTTACATCAAAATATAATAAAACTTAACGTTTAAAAAATTAAAAGTAAAAATTTGTTAATATCTACATTTCTCTTGTTTGTTTTGTTTCCATAACAACCATATGTATGGTGATATTTAAAACAAGTATCACAGGTAATACTATAATAACTTGACTAGGCAAAAATTAAATCACACCCAATTAGTAACGGTCAGGCGATATAAACAAACAAAACGAAATTCAAAACAAACTATAAACATATTATAATAAAAGTAAAAGTGGCGTGTGCGTGCATTATTGCCCGATTAACAGCGATAAAAATAAAATAAAGCGAAAGAAAGCGAAAGCACTTTCTCCGCTGCTGCTTGAGAAGAAGAAGAAGAAGAAGAATCACTATCGGCGAAGATATCATCATCATCGGCAAGAGTGCGCTGACCGCTAGTCGAGGAATTGAGTTAGTGGGTCACAGGAGGCTTTGAACCAACGCTGCCGTACGAAAGCGAACACTCGCGTCGATCCGTTGATCCAAGCAGGCAACGCGCGTACATTGTTTGTTAATTTCAAAGCTACCACGATCCACCACTATAGTTATAACGCCGCGTAAAATTATTTTGTGTGTACCTATCAGTTCCTCAGAGTTTTGTGTTTTTTGTTTATCATTGGAAATGTGTCGTTAACAAGGGACTGTTCAGCCGTTTATTTGACAATTGTTTATCGAGAAAAATGACCGTAAACGACTACAGGGAGACTGCATGTGCCACAGCGGGCCATAACGAAGAAATGGAAGTAGAAACGGACCAAGTTTTGAACCCCGCACCGCAAGACCTGGAAAATCTCCTAGGAAGAGTCCTTGCAGGTAAAAATAAAAAAATCACCACCAAAAAATGCGATCAAGGCATTGTTAAATAAAAGCAACTGCCAAATTCGAAAAAAAAAATTCTAGCCTCGCGCCGGGGTACGCCGGCAGGTCCTTCTGTTTTCACTTTTTACTCCGTACGAGCGACAGAGAGCGGTATCTAGGACAGCGCGCACCCGGCGCGAGACCAGTTCATTCACCCTCGGCCTTCGACAATGTGCGGCTGTCTCGCTCTCACTCGCGTTCACTCACTTTTAATTCCCGACTGCTTAAACCTCGAGATTCGTGTCACAAAATCTAGCCTCGCTGGCCGTACCCCGTCTCTGCCAACACAAAGGCGCACCAGTCTTTACTTACTATATTTTTAATATAAACGCTAAAGCGCAAAATTAACATCTAAAATTAAGGGAATTTGTTTAAAGATTGTCCATTCTCCTTAAAAATATTAATTATATTAAAATAATATTTTTTACAACCATTACAATAATATTTATAGAACATTTTTGAAAAGTTTTGACATTTTTATGACTGGTTTAGGTTTTAGGACTTTAAAATGGTTTTAAATAATTTAGACAATTTTTAGAACGTTTTAGATAATTTTTTTCATTTTTAGGCAGAGTTAAAAGTTTTGGATAAGTTTAGACATTTTAAAGACTTTTAAGTTGTGGGACATTTTTAATGGTTTTCAAAGAAGTTGGACAATATTTGAATTTGGGTTAGATGGTTTTGAACATTTTTAAAACTTTTAAATAGTTTCGAGGCTTTTTAGACTGTTAAAGTGTATATTTAGAGAGTTTGTTACAGAGTTATGGAAAAGTTTAGACATTTTAAAAACTGGTTTAGGTTTAAGGACTCTTATAGTATATTATGTATGAAGTTTGATAAACGCCTTAAAATGATTTAAATCAAAAATTTGTATAGAGCGCCATCTATGAAACAACAGGGGAAACTGTCAAATGTCACATTTTTACATTTTATAAACACAGTTATAAAGGTTATAAATCGAAATGTATCTTGAACATTGACAGTTTTTCACAGTGAAAGTAAAGGAAATGTTTTATGAGCACTTTACAGTGGAGTCCGTGCCGGAATTTAAGTTATAGTTTAGTGCCGGCGAAATTAAAAGGTCAGTACAATGTTCATATCAACTATTTTTGTATTGAGATAATAAAATAATTTTTACATTTAGTATTATTTTACAAGAAAGGCACTTTATTTTAACGATTGTATGACATTTGACAACTGTCAACTAACTTAAAACTAACTTCAGCCCGTGACTAAAAACCTGTTGCTAACATTAAAAAAAACTACTCTCTAAAAATGAATTAATCAAAAATGACTAATTTAATAGTTATTAGTGGCTGCTTTTTCATTTGTACCATGGTTAACCATGGAATACCATGGTATCCCAAAATTTAACAGCCACTAATAACTATTAAATTAGTCATTTTTTCAAATATTAGCGTCAAGAAACTAGGTAATATAAACTAACTTCAGCCCGTGACTAAAGCGCCATAAAGCCACAGCTTGTCGATGTGTATTTAAGTGTCATAGAAATTAATAATTTTACCATGCTCTTGATAATTAGTGAATTTTTCCTTTAATTCATTCAAAAAAATCCCTAAACTTCCGAAAAACTCAATTTTAAATATCTCAGTAAAAAACAAAAAAATCAGGTTTTGTTCGTTGAGCTCACAATATTTAAAGCATTCTTCCTCTAATGCGTTTAAAATGAACCCCAATGCATCTAAATTTAAAACTTCTGGAAAAGCCCCCTTTAAGCTTCGAGCCACTGGTCTCTGAGTTGGTAGTGTGTAGAGATATATCGAGGCCGTTGGTACCCCGTCGCGAGGCTAGTGCGTTCACCCGAGCTCTCGGCGACCGTACGAATCTAGGGCAAGATGAAATTAACTAGAGGTTGAATGCGAAAAGAGCACATGTATCAGCGATTCGCCAATCGCGTTGAGACTCTCCCCACCACTGTAACCTCGAGTGCTGTAAGTTCAACGCACTCCCGGCAGCAAAATAGGTTACCTGAAGTTTTATCATACAGTATCGTGAATTTGGAGTACCTCATATTTTGCAATTTTTAAGATTCTAATTTTAATCATCATGTGGAAGTTGTTTACGATAAGAAACTTTAAAACAGTTTTATACTTTCTTCATTGATAACTTTTTATCTCTAAGGCTTTTCTTTAGAAGTAAAAATAAATTATGTTTTAAATTATGTATTTATTCGGTTTATATATTTGGCACAAACAAAGTTTCCTGAATCTTAATTTAGTTCGTCAATCCTTTTTTGGCTTGCCAATGATCAAACAATCTTGCATCCAATAAAGATGGAGTCAATTAATATAACATAAAATTATCAAACGCAATAATAATTTGTATTGGTTTATTTATTACTCTGTATTACATAAAATGACTACGTCACATTAACATAAAATTTGCAAACTTGCAAAATGCAGTACGCAAAATGAAAGTGAATCACATCGTACCACTTGAAGAACGTTCTACCATTTATAATGAAAGTGAAAATCAGTTCATGACAGCACAACAGCATAATTTCTAAAAACTTATTATGTACGAAACTTTCTCTGTCTTTAAGAGATTTGTGCTGTATTTGCCAATACACACCAATAAAAATTAAACGACTTGTTTGTTACAAACTCAATTAATAATAGTAATAATAATAATATAACAACATATTGACTGCTATAAACTTTCAATATCGACTAGAACAATTAATTCTAAATATCAACGATAAATAAATAATGGCCTATCCACAATTACATTTATGGAAATACTCAGATAAGCTGACATTGGCTTACCCGCGAAACAGAACATACGAAAAAGTAACACTAGAAAGAGAAACAATCATATAACGTGCACAGCTCACTCGGTGGATATAGTGAAATGAATATAGTTGGCGTATATTATAAAATGACCTCAAAAACAAAAAGGCAACGACCTGCTCTCGCGACGGGGTAACCGTCGACCTCGATTGCCATTCGCAAGTATTCGAGCGGTGCCCCGCGAGAGACTAGCCTCCTAGCGACCCCGAGATAGGTACAATGAACTGGTCTTATATTGAGTAAGTGATGACCTGAATTTTGCCAGCTATGTAATAGAAATACCTACAGGATAAATCGAAAACTCTACTTGTAACAGTTTTATTCAGTATTATAAAACTATTTATATCAAGTAAAAGTTGGTATATTATTACAAAATACCGATACCAATTAAAAAATAAAAATCTCTGTTGAAAATCTTCAAATTTCATTTCACTCTTATGTACCTAAAAATCATATACTAATGTTCTAAAAGTATCAGTAAAAAATAAAAAACTTAATATTTAAAGCATTATTCCTGTAATGCATCAAAAAAATGTCTAAACCATTTAAAAAACATTTTGATAAATTGCACCATTGATATTTCGGGTTGCCCCTCGTATGAGATAAAATGTTTCCTTCCAACGAGTCTGGATGACCTAAATTTTGTTTCAAGGTGAATAACCGAAAATAACCCGCCCACATCGGTGGAAATCCGGGGGTTGACAAAATCAAAAGGGGAAAACATTCTGGAAATTCTCTCTCTAAAATTTTAGACGACATATTTTGACCTAAAACGTTTGTGTATATTTATGTGGCACAGGGCCAAATTGATTTATATTTTTTAATGGATTGACTAATTATATACAGAGTGTCCGCTTCACATAAGTTAAATCTAGTTAACTAATAAATACTTGGTTAAAACATTAATGGTAAATCTCTTGTAAGCATTTTTTCCATATTGAAAGTGAATCACAAGACACCAAAAAGAAAGCGGCTTGCCACGAGTGAGTGAAAGTATTGCATGCCTGTACCAAGGAAAGTAGTTTTTATTTTCACCAGAGATCAAGACTCTCACCTTACAGTTTGAACTCTACTTGGGTGCATCTGCTTGTTTCGTAACTTGATTATTACGCAATTGAAGAGTTTATTAGATTTTTCGTTTTAATGATACTTACCGTTACATGCCTTATTGTACCGTTAACTATACAGGTACTCGTGTGTAATAGAGTTAAATATAAAAATATAAAGAAGTTTAAATGTATACAGTAAAAACAAGCTATATAATTATATATATTGTAAGAAATGCAATCTTTCGTAAATACTGACTTATCTATGTTAAATTTTTATTTGGAAACAATATTATGTTAATAATTATTAATTGTTATAGTAGATTGCATTGCATTTAATACATATTGAGAATAGTATAAAATTACATCATTATCTTTTTGTTTAAATTAAAATTCAGACATTTTTCAAAATTAATCTACATTTTTATCACTAGTAAACTTGTGGGCGTTTTTTACAAGATTAAGTAAACACCATCAAGAAAGAAAACATTCTAGAGCGTCCTAACCTACGCCAACTTGATTTGGCTTACGTCGCCTAGCTAGACTAGGTTTTTTATAGTCAAGGGATGTAGCGTAGGCGAGTTGTTTTGGGTATGCAGTGTACAGCGCACTTTATTGTATTTGCACATCGAGTTATATTTCTTTATTTTTAGATATATAATATTGAAGTTAAATGTAGCTATATAAAAGGTATAAAAACACATTACAGCAAATGGGTTCTTTGTTCTTTCATAATATATCCCAGGGGAAAATTTTCAAATGTCGCCCACGCTCATATATATGAGTTTTCCGAGAGCCCAAAGATCATTGCACTACACCTACTTAAACATCTAAATATATCCATACCTACAATTTTACTAATTATTAATGAATAATTTCTAAAAAAACATGAAGCATTACGTCAAAATTTGGGTTATTATAGTACCCAGCAGGAAATCAAACAAAAATACTCGGAATTTCGTAACGGATTATTGAGTCATTTTTCGTAAATCACAATCAAGCAATCGCCTTGTAAGTTTGGAGTAGTAGGCTTTGGGAAAAGGGTGTAGTGAGGCCGTTGGGTCGTTCAACTGTTTCACGGAGGTCATCCGATATATAG